CCACTCGAGGAGACGCTATGCCCTCTCATACAAAAATCAAATACAGAGAAAGATATATGGATGTACTCTTCCCAGGACATGTGGAGGATGAAAGATGCGAGGATCCTTTATCTAAGCGAAAAACATATTCTTGTCCTTGTCTCGCAAAACATATGATTTGCTTCAAAATCGTTTGTGGTTATGTTTGATTTTCACTGCTTGTCTAGTGTCCGTACTCTAATATACGAAATAATTCAAAACAGCAGTGTCAAGAACATTTAGGAACTCTACCTCAGATGATTAAATTAACAGAAAGTAGTGAAATGTGGAATATATATGTCTATTTATATTTGATTAATCATTTGAAATAATGTTATTTATGCCAATTACCTTTGACTTTTAGTTGAGACATATCTAATATCATTAGTTTTTCGTGAGGTCGCTGATAGTTTCTTCAACTTCTTGAATAATTTTTTATTGTAATAGCTGTAATTTTTTCACTTCCAAACAATTCAATCTTCTACGGTGGGTTGTGTGTATGAAAACGAGTAAATGTATGAAATATTTTCAAAAAATTTGCTTCCACTTTTGTTGAGAGTCAAGTTTGATGTTGTTTGTGAGTACCAACAGGATTGTAAGAATTGGTAAGTTTGAGTGGATAATTGTAGATACTTGAACCGCACTCTTGTTTCAATTGATACACAGTAATTTAGTGATTTCAAATAAATCTTTACATTTTGTGTGGGAAATGGCATTTACCTTCTTTTTCTGAAAGTATAGTATGACATAACTATAGTGAAAACGAAAGAATATGACTGATGTGGTAGTTACGCGGTATGAATTTTGAAAATCATTAAGTGATATAACAAGTAATATAACGGTCATTTAATTATAATTTCGAAATCCAAGTTCATTTAATTGTCCAAGCCTCTTCCTATACAAAATTGTAGGTTTCATTTGTGCAAATTAGTAATGGGATTTATAATGAGCGTAACTGAAATTGATGTTCGTTATGGTTAGCAATATTCCTATCCTTTTAAGGAAAATAACCCCTTTCAAATAATGAATTTTTCACCTTGAGAAACAATAATCAATATCAATAATAACAATGATAATGAAAAACATATATAGTAATTGTTGAATGAAGATTGAACTTTCGAAAGTTTTTTATTATGATAATAGTGTTATTTCCTATCTTTAGTCTGAAACGATCACCTTTGAATAATCCCTATAAAAGTCATAAAATAACTGAGATATTGGCATTTTTAAGATACGAACATTAACAATAACTGCCAACACTATTTTTTGATGAACAAGGATCCCCTGTTTATTTAGGATGTAACTATAAGAATGCGATGTCAACAAATAAAATTAACGTGTCGAAATATTTTTTGCAAACCATTTTTGGTTTTAGACAAATAGAATTTATTTGGCTTGGCTCGTACGTCCTGTATACCTAATGTATATTAGATATTTTGTTATTCAAATAACAGCTTCTGTAGTTAGACCTAGCAATTTTGGATAGTGATGTACATATTATTTACTATTTGTAATGATTTACTTCATAACGGTGTGTCAACTTTAAGGATTTGCCACCCTTATTGTAAAAACCTTTATTATTGATGGCTGTTTTTTATTGGGTAGGTATTTCAAATTCACATTCAATAAATGGGTGCCATCACTTTTATGTGCTCAAATTCCAAAAAGAACTCATTTTTTTGCCCAAAAATCAAGGACGATTTTTAAGGATTACATAAAAACACACCCATATGCTGATCTTTCCGAAATGAGTGTTCTAAGAATATACATTATATTCTTCGAACCTATTTTTGATTGATGAAAATCAGTACAGATGAGTCAAGTGATCCTACATTTTGAAATTGGAGTGAAAAAAAGGTCGTTAGTTGGTCACATTTACAGTCCAAACATAAATACACCCAGTTGTTCAATAAGCATATTCTGAATACCTACCGAACAAAAAAGTTTATGGAGTTCGTGGACACACTATTTATAATATCGTTCACTACTGCAATTTCTACGCTTCCGCTTTTCATAGTTGAAAAACGAAAACATCTTATTTTTGGTTCAAAAAAAAACAACAGATTTTTTTCGTATCTCTGCAGTTGCTTGGTAAAAGTCAGAGAGCTGCTTCTGAAAAACTATTCCAGGGAAACTCAGATATCTTAATTCAAAATCCTAGTTAAAAAAAAAAACAATTTCGGATCTTAATGAGGAGAAATTACAGTAGTACAGTTAGTAGTCTGGTGTATCTATACTCTAGACTAGGTACCTACCAAATAATGAACTGTAGTTATTCAGTAGATGATATTATAGGTAGAAAGTTTAGAAGTTCTGAGGTTATCACATTTTCAGTAAAATTCCATGCGTTTGTATTCATATATGGAGGTCCAGACGTTTATACATTGATTTGAGAGATGATAGACACTCATAAAATGAGTGGAATTTTCTAAAGAACCATTACTTAAATACAGGGCGTTGGGAAACAAATATTCCTTATCTGAGGAAATAAAAATGTGTAAAGCGGGTTTACATTACAGTAAGCGTACAGGTTATGAAAAGAGAGGTTAACGTCATCAGCGTTGTATGTACGCTGACGTCATCCTAGTCCTAGTTTGGTAAAACTGGCTCAGCCAATAAGTCGTGTGCACAAAATGTCAGATGACCGTCCCTGGAGGCAAAACAATCTCACTAACCTAACTTTTTTTATTTGTTGATATATTTTTTCACAATTATCTTGGCATAGAATCGTGTTTCTTGGGATATTTATTTATTCAAGCATGTCATCACATTGTACTGTTGTACAATGCACAAAAAATGCATGAGAGACGAAGGGATACCAGATTTTTCAAGTAAATTCTCATCTACAAGCACTGTACAGTCGTCTTCAGATAACATGTAGCACAAGTCAGCTCTGTTGAACACCGCTGCAATTAGAGCGCTCATAACGTCCATCCGCGACATGTTCACTGAAGACTAGTGTACCTAGTTACTTACAATTAGAAATCCTTCTGCAATAGGAGGTAATAAAACTTGTAAATGTTGCGAAAGAAAAGAGAAGGTTGGATTCGTGTAATCAAATGGGAGGACTGGTCTGAAATACTGGCAAAAAATATGGTCGTGTGTGTTGTGGACATTTAAGTAATTCTAAAGAGAGATGACAGAATGACTATGGTCGTGTATGTTGTATACATTTTCACTCTATTTATTGCAGAAGGACATTCTAAAAAGATGTGAAAACATTTTGAAATGAAAACTATGTGAGTGACTACAGTACATAAAGATCACTGTTTACCTGAAAAATCTTTATTTCTTCGTCTCTCGTTGCATTTTTTGTGCATTCTACAACAGCCCAATGTAATTGAATGCTTTAATAAATAAATATACCAAGAATCACAAATATTAGTGAACAACTATTTCCAATCGCTCGAAAACAAATTCGAAAAGTGAGGTTATTTTGTGTTGTGTGAATTCCAGGGTCGGTCATCTGACAGATCTTGCACGCGACCCAAGCTTTATATTTTTGACAACCTATGACAACTGTCGACATTTGGTGAACAATAATTTCCGATAGCACGATGACGTACCATTCTCTCTCTATTACTTGTACGCTTTTTTTTAATACAACTGTACCAGTCAAAAAAAGTCATGGGAATGCAACACGTCGATACAGTGATTACATTTCCCTCTTCTAAAAATATGTAGGATGTCTGCTAAATTACTCATCAAATTCTGAAGAAGGAAGTATTCCTGTGCAAACCATTGTTGATTTATTATTGTTGATTTATTTGCAGTAAAATTCTTTTCTACATACTCAGTGGATTGCTAATTATTCCTAGACTAGGGATATGCAACCCCAGTATCGGCGCCTATGGAATCCTATACCTAACAATTTTTGACTCATATTGCAGACGTTGAATCACATGGAAAGTCATCGGGCCAATATTGACAACATTTCTGTTTATACTTATATTTGACAAAACAAACTTATCAAAATTCATGTATAACAATCTGGATCACCCCTGTATACTGTAATTGTGCAGATTATTTCACATACCTATACTTCCTATAATGAACTGATTGAAAAGCGATACCTTCAGGTCTTGAAGTATTTCGTGTTGATGAAAAATAATTTAGAACTAAAAATCGGTCCCTATTGCATACAGAGGTTGCCGGAAATATGATCGAAATCATTAGATGGATCTTCATTTAATCCAACATCGTTTGATCGATAATCAAATGATCGATAATCAAATGATCGAAAAATCAAATGATCGAAGATCAATTGATCGAAATATCAATTGATTGAACTACATTTCGATACAATATAATCATTTGTCATCTGCACATAGTATTCGAAATACTCACCGATTCGTCTCAAACCCTTAGTATGGATTCTAGGAATTTATTGATATCAGGGATTTTATTGTGAGAAGCTGTCAGCTGTATAACCTCGAATATAACTATAGTGATCAACATAATTATGTCAGAATTTATGTCACATTCGGTTACAGAGACAAGACATCGTTCAGAAAAGGTGGATATTTTTATGTGAGAGAACACCAGCGCTATGACAAAATATTGCAAACAGCGTTCCTCTACATTTGGTACACTGCTTGCCTGTTCTGGTATTCATCTAAGGTTCATTTAGGCCGAGTCAAGTTAGGTTGTTTAGACACAGTAGCTTCTTCTGTAATTTTCCTAAGAATATACTTTCTAGGAAGAAGGTTCATTTAGGCCAAATTAGGTTAGATTGTTTGGGAAAAGTCGTCTCCTTTTTTCCTTCCTCAACCTTCCGGCAAACAGTGTAATGGTTGTAAACGGAGTTACGCCTGCAATACGTGAAATTACTATACATTTTCTTTTATGTTATTATTTCGATCAAAATGTAATTCGATCAATTGACATTTCGATCAAAAAGTTTTCGATCATATTTCCGATGACTGCATACAGTTACCAAAACATAGTCATATCGTAATGAAACTGATAATATTTCTTTTCAGGAATTGGGTAACGCAGACAATGCAAATGAATCTCAGCCGATGGCACCAATGTCAGTTCAACCAACTCGAAAAATGAAATCGTCCTCTTTAGGTGTAAATGCTTTGAAGCGATTATAACATCTGATCCAAAGGTGGTATCTTTTATTTTTATTAAATTTTATCCAGTCAGTTAGATTTGTACATAAGTTTTAATATATAAGATTCAATATTTTTACTAGCATTTCATTTAAATTGGAATCGAATTGTAAGTAGCTCTCCATGCCAATTTTATAAATTTACAGTACATTCACATTTCACTCAACACTATGTATTATATTTATTAATTTAATTTTACAAGTTTAATAGTTCTACAACTTGTAGTTTTATACTGTGTTATGTAATACACCTCATAGGTGATATTTATTTTAAGTTATGAAAAAATAAACGGGTTATTCAGCTTGAACTTTTATTCGTTTTGTTCATACCATTCCGGTTTCAACTATAATTTTGCCACAGGATGAATCAATGGCTCGATGTCAGTTGCCCAAAAGTCTATTCGTCGACATACAATTCGTCGATGTCAAATCGTCGATGTCAAATCGTCGAAAGTCAATCGGCCGAATATGCCATTTGGCCGAATACGGCAGTTGGACTAAATTGGCCGAATTTTTGTGGAAATCTATATTTCACACTCGAATCATGAACAACCAAAGACAGTTATTTGAGTTTCTATTTCTCCTGTCACTGACGAGTCTCAGTTCTTATTCCATTGCTGAAGAAAGAAGAACAATCAAATCCCTATCACTAGCTTCAAATTGATGCAACTTCTAGAAGATCATGGAAAATATTTGAAAATGAATGAAAAGGTCTGCTTCGTTATAATTTACGTTTCGCAAATGCAAAATTCGCTTGTCAAACAAAGTGTCACTTTTGATCCGAATGAAACATGCTAATTTTTCTGCAACCGGAATAATTAACTGAAATAAATATGTGAATTACTTGACATAGTATTATAATACCTTTATTATAATAATATAGGTAAGTAGATAGAAGCAAGACCGTCTTCAGGAGAAGATTAAAACTCAAGTTTTAACTAGTTTTAATCTTCTCCTGAAGATGCTAACATAGTTAGCGAAGCACGTGTCGAGGCGTTAAAAAATCGGTTTGGTTAGTGGTAAAACAGTGTAGTGTCTGATCACCCTGTATCTGTTCCAGGTAAATGTCAGTAAATAGTAAATCAAAAGTTAAGATAGGGACATGTGAGCCCTTTTGACCAATAATGAATAATAGTTTCGATACAAAAAAATCCTAATAAAGTTGAAAAATCTCGATTTTGAATACACTATATCTCTGTAATTATTTCTGCTAAACCCCAAGTATGATAATATTGATGAAAGGAGCTCTCAAGAGAGAATCTAAAATTGCAATAATAACCGGGTGATCTATTAAAAAAAGTGGAGTTGTTAGAACATTTTGATAGAAGCGGCAACGTCGCAACTTTGAAAATATTTTAGATTGATAGTAAAGGTGATAATATGTGAGATGCGGAATTTTGAGAGGAATCCTTCGTTGCGTTCTCCAGAAACGTCTAACCTACATACCATTGACCTTGAGTCACCCTGTATACAGGGTGATCCACGGTGGATGGTCTATTAGAAGTATCTGGAGAACGAAAAGACAGAACATTCTGAAAATTGCGATTCTTCGATAATTGAACATTCTCTATCCATCTAAAATATTTTCACCGATACAGTGTTGCCACATCTATCAGAAACAACTAGCAACTTTGTTATTTCATGTGGAACACCCTGTATTTTATTGCATTTTAAAATTCTTTCTAAAGAGCTGATTTCATCAATGCATCACACTTGGGGTCTAGCAGGAATGAGTACAGAGATATAGGATGTTCAAAATCGAGATTTTTCAATTTTAAGATTTTTTGTGTCGAAACTATTCATTATCGATCAAAACGGCTTACATGTCCCTATCTTAACTTTTGATTGACTATCTACTGGAATTTGATTGGAAAAAATACAGGGTGTTCCAAGATTCAGAATTCTGATCACCCTGTATCTGTTCCAATTAAATGTCAGTAGATAGTGAATCGAAAGTTAAGATAGGGACATGTAAGCCGTTTTGATTAATAATGAATACTTTCGACACAAAAAAATCCTGAAATTGAAAAATCTCGATTTTGAACACCCTATATCTCTGTAATCATTCTTGCTAGACCCAAAGTGTGATGCATTGATGAAATCAGCTTTTCAAGGAGAATCTAAAAATTCAATAAAATACAGGGCGCTCTATTTAAAATAACGAAGTTGCTAGTTGTTTCTGATAGAAGTGGCAACACTGTATCGATGAAAATATTTTAGACGGATAGAGAATGTTCAATTATCAAAGCATACCAATTTTCAGAATGTTCTGTCTTTTCGTTCTCCAGATACTTCTAATAGGCCATCCACCGTGGATCAGCCTGTATACAAGGTGATTCTAAAATAGGTGGTCAAACTTTGGGAGTATATAGAGTGTGTGAAATAATTACGAAAACCTCGGTAACATTTTTTTCTGAAGTGCCCCCCAAGAAAGATACAGCCCCTCAAATGGGGGCCTCGGAGAATGATTTTGTATTATTATCTCCAACACCTTGTATGATGAAAATCTAAATTTATGTTTATCCACTAACTATTCAGTGCCGGTTCGAATGGAGTTAAAATCACCTCAAAATTGATTACAGGGGTGTGTCAAAATAAGGAGGTAAAGGGGTAAAAATAACCCCAACTTTTTTGTTCGTCGCAAATTTCAGTTTTTTTACATGAAATGATAAAATCTCAGGGCTATTAACATAGAAAAGGAGCTCTTGTTGAATTTCGATAAAATGAACCATTAGCGAATAAAATTTATTTTTCCATCAAGAGTTCATTTAAATTGCAATAATTTTTAATTATTATTTAATTATCTGATTCAAATCTTGCAACTGAATTTTCACTTGCTTCTAATCGTCTGATCAACTTGGAATCTGGCAGATGACAGTTGACAACGCGTTATGGACTTTTTGATAGAAAAAAATATGGCGCGGCTCGAATGTGGCTGACCAGATTTGTGATTATGGTCCGATTCGATTCAAAATTGGTTTGTAAGGGTTTTTGGGGTTGTACATTCTGAATTCGTTGTCGGAATTCATGAATTAAAAATAGACGACGAGTTTCGTGATTATGGTCTGATCCTATTGAAAATACTAAAATAAAACAAGAACAAGCTTTTATTATTTTAACAATTGAAATAAAAAATTTAATATAAAATGAGGTGAATGCTCTAAAAATGAGAAAAAAATGCTTCTAGATATCTTCTTCCACTTCCTGGAGCATTTGAATGGAAGCATTATCCTCACTGATTCTTTCAACCTTATTTTATTACATTTAAGTTCAACATAACCCCATCGAAATGAAACGTAGAATTTAACCCTGAGTTAGAGAGCATATATAGCAGTAAATGGAGGAATGACAATAATGTTTCTATCGAAATGCTTCAGGAAGTGGAAGATGATTTCTATCGAATACCTTACTCACAGAATAACTTACGTGAGATATCCAAAAGCATGTTTCTCTCATTTTCAGAGCATTTGAATAAAGGCTTGTCTTTGTTCATCTTTCATCTTTAATTTTTTATCTCAATAGTTAAAGTAATAAAAGCTTGTTTTCAACATTATTTTTTATTTTATTTTCAATAGGATCAGTCCATGATAACAAAACTCGTCGGCTATTTTGATTTCATGAATTCCGACAACAAATTCTAAATTTCCATCCCCAAGAACCCTCCCATACTAATTCTGAATCGAATCGAACCAAATCACAAATCTGGTCAGCTACATTGGAGCCGCCATAACGCATTGTCAACTGCCATCTGCCAGATTCTGAGTTGATCAGACGATTAGAAGTAGATAAAAATTCAGTTGCGAGATTTGACCTAGATAATTAAACTCAAGTACGTACCAAAATCGCAATTTAAATGAAATCTTGAAAAAATAAATTTCATTCGCTAATAGTTCATTTTATCGAAATGCAACGAGAGCACCTTTTCTATGTAAATATCTCTGGGATATCATAATTTCATGTAAAAAATCTGAAATTGCGATGAACAAAAAAGTTGGGGTTATTTTTACCCCCTATTCCTCCCTATTTTGATACACCCCTGTATTTAATTTTGAGGTGATTCTAATTCCATTCGAACCGGTACTTAATAGTAAGTGGATGGACAAAATTTCAGATTTTCATTATACAAGGTGTTGGAGATAATAATACAAAATCATTCTCCGAGGCCCCTCTTTGAGGGGCTGTATCTTTCTTGGGGGTCACTTCAGAAAAAACTGTTACGGAGGTTTTTGTAACTATTTCACCCTCTCTATATGCTCCCAAAGTTTGACCACCTATTTTAGAATCACCTTGTATACCTACCTACATTTTATGAACTTTTCATAATAAGCTCGTAAATTAAACAATAAATAATTCGATCATGACTTTCCTGGTCCAGACAGCTTATTTATCTGAGTCTGTAAATGATACAGTATCTGTAACACCACAACGTTGCTAATCCTAGAGATAAGCACCTCTCGCTGTATGAATGAGACCCAGTAGGAATTTTATCAACATAGTACTATACTGAATGAAACAATGCTTGTAAAGATTAGATTAAGAAAATGAGAAATGTATTCGAAATTGAATGAAACCGCATTATCTGTTCACTTTTACTTTTCAAACATACCTTTATTTATACCTACCTTGATATCTAATCTGACTGCCACTGAATATAAATTCTGATATTTCAAACTGATGTTCAACATAAATATCGAGGTTTTGAAGGTATAGTAGATTGTTTTATTAGGATCAAAAAGTGATACTTTGTTCGACAAGCGAATTTTGCATTTGCAAGGCGAAGCGCCGTCTAGCGAAGCCGAGCGAAAGCAAAATTTGCGAGTTAAACAAAGTCACTTTTGATCCGAATGAATCATGCTATAAATATGTAAAGTAACGACCAATGCCGTGCCATATATGTATGCAAAGCAACAAATAATCCGTGTGGTGAGAATATTCTACGTGCATTAACAGATCAGGTTTATTCAATTTTCAAGGATGGAAAAGGACGCGGAAAATGTTAGGTTAGTGAGCATATCAACAATAATAATAGTGATTATTTATTTCTCTGCATACTCCACTATGCGTGGCACGATAATCAAATGAAGGTAAACAATATCGTTGTTTGAGACAGAAAACTATTGCTGGCCGTGATAATTCAAAAACAAGTTATCCATCCCATCAAGAATAACGAATCCTATACTTCACTATAATAAGGTCCCAGCAAGCACAAAAACATCTCAGAGATGTTAAAAGTACGAGATTTCGAGACATTGTACCTCCACTGCGATGTTCTGTTCACACATGAATAGAACTATTATAGAACAGCC